AAACAGCTGTTTATAGGGAATGTCCGACTTATAGACTGCTATTCTGTCGGCTGATATCCTTAAAATATATATATAATTGACAGTTAATTAATCTAGACAAGAAGAAGGTCCTCAAACTAGAAGAATGAAGAAGTAATAATGTAATTTCTGTGATTTGTACTGCATTTTGTGCAGCACAAAATGAAAGCTATAAAAAAATTTAATGAAGTAATCATGATTAAGGTATACATTTTACTAAAAATAAATTAAATTGTAAATAAATAGTGGTGAGTGGGGGCAGGAAAGGTGGGGATAGGGTAGGGGACAAGTCTATTTAAATGGATAAGTGTATAAGTAAAATTATTACTATTATTATATATATGACATTTCACCATAATGGTTTCATTAGGTGTAAATAATATATTAGTTTATTCTTCACTTCCATATACATGATTGTATAATAATTAGAAGAGAAAAGAAAAAAAAGATATGAAATAGATTTGAATATAATGAAGGTTTGAAAGGTAATTAAAGATAAGATACCTTTAACAAGAATCATTGTAGTGTTAAATATTGAAGTTTATAATAATCTATCATTGTATATAAGTCATTGACTTTATGATAATTATGATGAATGAATTATGCAAGCGTCTGATTGATTGAGATGCTATCATAAAGACGCCTGCAGGGATAGACAATTTACATAAGTGCTCAGGCCTTTATGCTGTATTTACCATACAAACTTTGCCAATACACACAATTAAATCATCATTATCGCTATGATAGTCAAAATAGACACTATTCTATCATCATATTAATAACTTGATGCTTCATTGACCTGTTAGACTACTGTGTCAGAGAATAAAACATGCTGAATATGTGAAAAAAAGGACCATGAAAGTGACATATAGTGGTAACACTTTTGTGTCCAGTGGTAACATTGTTGTGTCCAGTGGTAACTCTGTTGTGCCCAGTGGTAACTCTGCGTGTTCAGTTGTAACTCCATTGTGTTCAGTGATAACTTGGGTTAAGTGGAAATTTTGTAGTTTCTAGTAGTAATGAAGTGCCTAGTGGTAACACTTGTGTCCAGTCTTTTGTGTCCAGTGGTAATGAAGTGTCGAGTGATAACTCTTGTGTCCAGTCTTTTGTGTCCAGTGATAATTCTTTTGTGTCCAGTGGTAACTCTTTTGTGTCCAGTGGTGACTCTTTTGTATCCAGTGGTAACTTTTGTGTCCAGTGGTAACTTTTGTGTCCAGTGGTAATTCTTTTGTGTCCAGTGGTAATTCTTTTGTGTCCAGTGGTAACTTTTGTGTCCAGTGGTAACTTTTGTGTCCAGTGGTAACTCTTTTGTGTCCAGTGGTGACTCTTTTGTGTCCAGTGGTGACTCTTTTGTATCCAGTGGTAACTTTTTGGGTTCAGTGGAAATAGTGTAGGGTCTAGTGGAAATGAAGTGTCCAGTGATAACTCTGTAGTGTCCAGTGGTAACTCTGTAGTTTCCAGTGGTAACTCTCTAGTGTCCAGTGGTAACTCTCTTGTGTCCAGTGGTAACTCTGTAGTATCCAGTGGTAACTCTGTAGTTTCCAGTGGTAACTCTGTAGTGTCCAGTGGTAACTCTCTAGTGTCCAGTGGTAACTCTTTTATACAGATTAAGAGAGTGGTAAGAGGGAGTGTTACCCATGATTTACAAGAGTAGATCACTAAAGTTATATGCATGCAGCAAGTGTATTCTCACATCGACTGCAATATTCAATAAAAAAACAACATTTTTCGTCTGCCTCTGGGTATTGACTGCCTATATTGAATTTTTCTCCATTCAGGTTTCTGCATTTTCCTTGAATTTATATGCATTCATCTTGTTGGTGGTGTTTTTGTTGTTGTGAGAGATTCTGTGATATTTAAAGACTTGAGTTGGTAGAAATTTCCTCGAGATGATCATGTTATTTTTGGAAAAATATTGTCGGATCTGCATGAATTCATTCATTGTGTTTTTTTAATCGTGCTACTTTTTTAATACAACAGGATATATTTGGAATTAGTTTTCTTGGCTTTAGTGGAGAACTGTCATGACTGTACATATCATTATGAAATCTGGAATTTGAGTGTGTTGTTTTTTTTCCCCATTAAAATACACATAGAGTTGAAATTTATTTATCATTTATCAAATTATTTGAAATATCCTAGTTAAAAAAAAAGGATTATTAACGCAATATGTTGCAGTGTTTATTCGATTTAATTCATGCAATTTTTATGGTTGAATAAATTTGATCAAGAATGATCACTCTTTGTTTAGATTACATTTCATGACTTTTATTGCTTATTTCCTTGTTTAATATTCTGAAATACTGTAAGATCTAATAATTTTGTGGGGGATTTAAATACTGTAGAACAAGTTTTGAATTTTGATTTTGAATATGAGGATTTGATTAAAGAAAAATACACTTTCGTAGAATTGTTTGTTAAAAAAGTTTGTACAGTAGATTTGGCTATTATAAGAGTATATGTTTACAGTAGATTAAAATTGTCTTTAATATATAAGAGTTAACAGTAGATTTGTCTAAGAGTAAGTTTACAGTAGATTTGACTATTACAAGTACTTACAGTAGATTTGACTATTATAAGAGTAAGTTTACAGTAGATTTAACTAAATTATAAGAGTAAGTTTACAGTAGATTTGACTATTACAAAAACTTACAGTAGATTTGACTATTATAAGAGTAAGTTTACAGTAGATTTGACTGTTATAAGAGTAAGTTTACAGTAGATTTGGCTATTATAGGAGTTGACAGTAGATTTGTCTATGAGTTGACAGTAGATTTGTCTATATTTATAGATACATTAGACACAATTTGTTATAAAGTAACAAGCACAATTTCGTCTTTTCTTGACTCAAAAACCATGAAAAGGCAATTGATGTATTTGTCATTTTAATGAAAACAATTTCATTAAAATTTTAGTTGGAAGATTTTGTAAATGTTACTTATATAATACCTTTAATCAGGCATGATGATATTTTGTAAGGGATTGGTTTCTGCTTTTAATGTTTTGTAATTACATGTAATTATAGTGCAAAAATCTGTCTGCAGCTAAATGTATGAAACACAATGGAAATGAGATAACATTTAAGAAATGCACAATTTCTTAAGATAATTTAACATTGAAAATTGATATTATGATGATCTGAAGAATAATGATAATAGAAAATTTAAGTGATTACAATTTGAAAGAAACTGTGTTAAGGTGGTTAATCTATGCTTTGTTGGATTTTTATGTGAAACTGAAAACTTATATTTTTATATCTGGATACACAAGGATATTGGTTCCCGAAAGTATACTAATTGTTTAAATTTGAATCGGGGTTATTATAATGAGCAATGGCAAATGTATGATTCAGGTATAATAGTCCAGGTGTGGTGTAACTGTGATTATTATAAGTGAAATTGTACATAGATGTGTTTGTATGTATACATGTGACTTCTCAAGTTATACTGTAATATTGGAACAAAGACGGAATCTCGGAAATTGGATATCACCGTTAATGATATATATTCAGAATCGACTGTGTGTAATGATTTTACTTTGAGGAAGCATTCTAGATAGATGATATTCAGACGTTAAGGTGATTGAAACACATACATGTATATAGATGAAGTTCAAATGTGAATGATGTGCTCAAATGTTTTACTAGAAGTTGGAATTATTAAGATTTTCAAGTGAAACACCGTTTTGTACATAGTGGAGATAATATTGGAAATGTCTGATAATGAGTTTATAGAATTAGATGATGACGATGATGATGGTGATATCGTTATTGGTGACACCTCATCAGAAACAAGTGGTACTAGCGAAGGTAATTATCATAATATATGTGCCGACAAACTGTGAAAATCAAATTTGTTAACATGCATGTCTTGTTTAAACCTTAAACTGAGTTGTGGCATTGGGCCTAGTGGTTAATGCCCCTGGCTTGGTAGGTTCAAACCCCGTCAGAGGCAAGCCATTGTTTCTGTGAGCGAAAAAACTTAACAGTCATAATGTTAAGTACTAGTTGGTTCCAGGAACAACGGGTTCAAGAGTGTTTCAATAAGCTTATAGCTTCCAAACACAGTCAAACTAAAATAAATTAATATTAACTAACCCATAGCCTGTTGAATTTTTGTGATTGCTTTTCCCAGAAGTCCATTTAATGTTTTTTAAGGTTTCTATATTTTCAAAATAAAAAAAATCGTTCCCATCAAATGGAATGTTTAGATTTAAAAGATTTTCATGAGTTGTAATTTAGATATATCATTGTATAATATTATGATATAATCAATTATTTATAACATTTTACTGCCCAGTGTTAATAAGATCACAAAATTGTCAAATCCATATACAGATTCCTTTTCCCTCATACACACCCACACACATTAATTATCTTCTTTAACTGCTCTAAGAAAAGTCATCAATATAGTTACAAGCATGTAAAACATAAAATGGATGAATACTGGCTGAGGATACACCACAGCTGTTATGTTTCACATGAATATAATTATTGTGTGATGTTAACATATCAAAGGAAGAAGATTTCCAGAGATTGAATCATCATAGTAAAGACAAATTATTCTGTATTCTGACTGGAAGAAAAGCTTTTATAAGAAATGATTGACAAAAAAATGGAAAAAAAGTTCTTTACATACACTAAGGTATTCTGCCCACATATATGTATATGTCTTTTAAACATGGCTTTAAAGACAGGATCTGAGATGGTCAAATCAGTGGGAAGACAATTAATTTGATCCTAAGTCTGTAACAGCGGTTGATAGTGTTTCCTATGACTGTGCTTTCACACTTCATTGACTTCATCTGATGAAAATCCATACTTTATTTACACAGATATTATAGAAAAAACATCAGACTCTGTGCTATTTTTAGAATCCTTGTCCTTGAACTTCAGAGGTTTGTCATCCAGAAGTAAAAAAAAAAAATTAATGTTATAGCTTTAAAATGTTTTATTTTTATGTGAATATTTGTTGTTGTTTCAGATGATGGGACAGACTTGGCAGATTGCCAGACAACACAATTAGACACTGTAAGCAATGACGAGGAATTAGGTCAAGGTCAAAAAGGTCAGCAAGGTCAAGTTGAAAACTCACAGAGCACAGAATCCAAGTATGATAGAAACAGCGATCAGGAAATTCTACAGCGACTTCAACAGCTTGATCATGAACGGTAAGAAGTAGCAGTAAGAAGTAACAGCCTTTATTAAAACAACAACAATAAAAAAATTAATTTTTATTTTTTGCAGTTTGAAAAAGATTTAAGCACACATGACCAAATCTGGATAATTTTTTGACTATGGACTCATGTAAACACATTGTTTATTGTTATAATTTAAGGACAAGTTTAACTTACGTTTGAGCGGCCATTGTTGTAATTTTAGGACAGGTTTAACTTCAATTTCAGCAGTCATTCTTGCAATTTTAGGACAAGTTCAACTTAAGTTTCAGCAACTAAAATGTTGCAATTTTAGGACAAGTTTAAGATATGTTTCAGCAGCCATTGTTGCAATTTTAGGATAAGTTCAACTTAAGTTTCAGCAGCAATATTTTTAATTTTAGGATATGTTTAATGTATGTTTCAGAAACCATTGTTGCAATTTAAGGACAAGTTAGTTTAACTTGAGTTTCAGCAGCAGTTGTTGTTTTTTTAAGACAAGTTTAACCTCAGTTTCAGCAGCCATTGCTACAATTTTAGGAAAAGTTTAAGTTCAGTTTCAACAGCCATTGTTACAATATTAGGACAGCTATTGTTGCTATTTAAGGAGAAGTTTAGCTCAAGTCCTAACTGGACATTTTTACAATTTCAGGACAAGTCAAGTACAGTATATAGAATCAGAGGAGAAGAACAGGAAGTGGTATTATGACCAGATTGAGATGATTTCACGAAAAATACGCTCACTTCCTGTCACTGATGGGGTATGTACTTTTCCAAAACATTTATTAAGTGTTTCCTTAAGTTTATTTCCTGCCTACTTTTAATCTGTTTTCTTCATTTTATCTGCTTTCTGCCTTCCTTCTGTATTCTTCCTTCCATTTGCTTCCTTTCTTCTGTTATCTTCCTTCCATTTGTTTTCCTTCAATTTGCTTCCTTCCTTCCATTTGCTTCCTTCCTTCTGTATTCTTCCTTCCATTTGTTTTCCTTCCATTGCTTCCTTCCTTCCATTTGCTTCCTTCCTTTCATTTGTTTCCTTCCTTCCATTTGATTCCTTCCTTCCATTTGCTTCCTTCCATCCATTTGTTTTCTTCCTTCCATTTCCTTCCTTCCTTTCATTTGATTCCTTCCTTCCATTTTCTTCCTTCCATCCATTTGTTTTCTGCCTTCATTTGATTCCTTCCTTCCATTTGCTGCCTTCCTCCTGTATACTTCCTTTAAGTATGTACATCTGAAGAAACTATTGGCATTAACTTAGATATGAACAAAAATGTTTCCTAATCAAAATAAGGGAAGGTAATGAGATATATATATATGTTGAAAACTACAACAATTACAAAAGAAAATGGTTATTTTTGGAGGATAGTTTGTATGCAGGTAATTGCGCATGAGACAGATGTAGAGATGACTGTGATATCATACATAGAGATATTACTGTAGCTTGCATTATCTAGATAGCAGACCAGAAATAACTGAAATTACTTTTTTTCTGTCTCTGAAGATAGATGCCAGAGTATCGGAATTGCCTTTTTTTCTCCTATCCTGGATAATGTATAATGATGTAATTCTGCAAGATTGGTGATGTTATGTCTGTGGTTAAAGTCCTGGGTGCAATAATAGTAATAAATCATGTAAAATAAAGAGTGTTCAATATTTTCACTTAGTATCTATAGGTCTTTCATACCAAGCACTTGGTTTCTGTAAGTCATTATGCTCATACCAAGTACTTGGTATCTGTAAGTCATAATTCTCATACCAAGTACTTGGTATCTGTAAGTCATTATGCTCATATCAAACATGTTGTTTCTGTAAGCCATTATGCTCATACCAATTACTTGGTATCTGTAAGTCATAATTCTCATACCAAGTACTTGGTATCTGTATGTCATTATGCTCATACAAAGTTTTGGTATCTGTAAAAAGAACTCAATATTACCATACCAAGCACTTGGTATCTGGAAGTCATTGTGCTCATACCAAGCACTTTGTATCTGTATGTGATTATGCTCATACAAAGTTTTGGTATCTGTAAAAAAAACTCAATATTACCATACCAAGCTCTTGGTATGTGTAAGTCATTTTGCTCATACCAAGCACTTAATGGTATCTGTAAAACACTCATACCAAGCACTTGGTATCTGTAAGTCATTTATTGTTGTCAGTACCACAAACCCAACCACATTAATAAATAACATAGAATAACATTATTATGATTATAACAAAAATATCAACATAAAATAAAACTAATCATAAAGTATAAAGAACTAACTTTCTATTTCAAGATAATACCACAAAGCAAAAAAACAAGTTTTCTCTCCATAATCATTGTTTGTTTTCTCTGAGATGTTGCCAAGTTTTCTGTATTGATGAAAAAATGAAAATGTAAAATTTTGCACATCTGTAGAACTCTCAACACATTTATGTTATCCCAGCTTAGTTAAGGCAGTAAAAACAAAATGTTGGGTTTCTGTCACTCCTTATAACAAGAGCTGAATTTTCACTGTATTGAATAATTAGGATCTTGATCTTTAAAGGAGCTCCTGGCTGAGGTTCTTAAAACATAAAATTTTAATTTCTTATGTAGATTACCTATTGCACTTAAACAGAACGATATTCTAAAGATAATATACTGAGAAACAAGTTGCAAACCTCATTCTTGTACCTTTTTTTAGCCTGATTTGGGGCTAAAAAGCATTGCAACGCTTTTCAGTTTGGGTATTTTATACAATAAGAATATTTATTGTGTTGTTGTTTTTTTTCATTATTGATATAACAATAAAAACACATATGACACCATTGTTTCAATGGGGAAATTTTTGTCAGTAATGAGCTATTTGAAAGTGAAGTTACTATTTTCAATTGGAATTATGATTAAAGTAAATTTTAATTTATCACATTTAACTTCCTGTCTTGAGTATAATAACCAAATAATAAGTTTATATTTGGCCTTACATTGTAAAGGTATATTTTTTTTTTCTTGCACATACTGTTTTTCGTGGATCATGTTTGTTTTCATATGGGAGTTTATTTTCTTAGAGTTACCTCCCTGCTGCATCATAAAATTGCCTGATTATATAACAGTTATACAGTTCATATTACAGAGTTACCCATGTTTGGATGTTCCGTGTTAAATGTTTGACTCAGAGTTTTAAGCTAAAACTGTATATATCATCGCCTTAGTGCAGTAACAGGTTAAGTCCTTCTAAATTTAATTTGAGTTAACCAGTTATTGCACTTAACTTGATGGTATGTGTTTTATAGAGAAAAATGTCAGGTGTTTTATATTATAGGACACAAAAATTTGTCACCTTAGTGCAATAACTGGTTAACTCCAATTAAATTAAGGACTTGTCACCTTAGTGCAATAACTGGTTAACTCCAATTAAATTAAGAAGGACTTGTCACCTTAGTGCAATAACTGGTTAACTCCAATTAAATTAAGGACTTGTCACCTTAGTGCAATAACTGGTCAACTCCAATTAAATTAAGAAGGACGTCACCTTAGTACAATAACTGGTTAACTCCAATTAAATTAAGGAGGACTTAATCATTTACTCAAATTAATGAACCAAAGAGGTGAAATGAATAAAAATATACAGTATACTTTTTTATTAGAGAACAGAAAAGTATGAATCCTCCTTTACTAACTGAAGAATGACATTAGTCACCAACTAGGGCAGTCTGCACATCAAGGTCGTCTGACCAGGCCCCATACTGTTGGCTCAACTTGGCTGACTTACTTGTCACCATTATAGATATTGGACAAATTCTAATATTTCTAATATTCTAATATTCATTCAGTACTTATCTTGAAATTTCATGTCCATGTAAGATATTTCTAAGCAACAGTTTTGAAGAAGCAAAAATATTCTTGAAAAATTCTGTTTTGACGTTACTTGTATATCCTATGATGTCATTCTTAGATGTTTAGAGCAATGATTGTGTGAAACCCTGTAATGCATAAAAAACAAGCGATATTCTGGCACGGAGCCTATTGAGCTGAAATTTTCTCCCCAAGCTGAGTGCCAAAATATATATATTGGCATAATTTACTTCTTTCCAATATAGACTGTATTGATGTAATACTTTTAACTACTTCTGCAGAATGTTATATTCCTTGGTTGTTTGTTTTTATTTTGCACTTTTTTCCCTTGAATCTCTATTTTGGGTTCCACAATAACTTTCAAATTCATTTCACATAACATGCATTACCTCCCGTTGTCGCCATTTATTGTAACAGTTTAAAGTAATTTGATTACTTAATGTGGAATAATGTTATTTTTACTTTGATAATGATTGAACTATTATTCTTCCAGGGCTTTTTTTTCACAGGTTGGGGAAGCAGCCCTGCCCTTAATTTTGGGGGAAAATTGCATGGTATATTTGCAAAAGGGAAAGAAAAAACTTGATGTCAAATTCAATTTTTGGGGAAAATTGCATGATTTCAAAGAATTTTTTTTCTTCTTCATTTGGGAAGCAGCCCTATAACAGCCTCTGCTTATAATTGAAGGAAAAAAAGTCCTGTCTTCTATCTGATTCCCACTTCTATAGAAGTAAAGATCACTGTAAAAGTATCACTTATAATGGTAATGATAGTCTTAATTCTACTGTTATAAATTGGCCTATTATTATAAAAGTAAAGATTCAATGTTGCTAATTACAGACATACTGTCAGTTTCAGTGTAATTTACAGGATAATTAGTGTGTATTATATATACATAACAACAGTACTGCTGTACTAATGAACAACAAGAATTTTCTCTCACTAGTGTTTCTGATTAACCCCCTCCCCCCCATCCTGGTCCAGTGATGTAGTGTTTGCTACTATACTTGTGTAAAAGATTTTTGACATGCTATAAAATTATGGCCCTATATAAATGGCTGTTTGGAAATATAACCTGAGCCCCAAGGCGAGGGTATAATGTTGCAAACAATCGTTTACATTATTAGTTATAAATATTTTTGACATGTTATATGGCCCTATAGAAACAGCTATTTGGAAATATAACCTGAGCCCCAAGGCGAGGGTTATATTGCAAGCGACCGTTTATATAAGGTAATATAACCTGTCAGGAATATTTATAACAAATTTATAATACCTCCAACTTCATTTTGTTTTTTTAAGAAAAAATTGAGATTTCTTAGAAAATTGACAACAGCCGTCAGGATTATCCAATGAAAAGTGATGTTACAAACATGCAGTATTATAATGTAATATGTAAAATGCTACTGTTATTATATGTAATTAACCGATTATAGAAGAAGAACGCTTTATTGAGTTAAATTAAGTACATAGTTTCTCGTCTTATACATATAAACCAATCATATTATACATAAATCATTATATAAATTATCAAAGTCACAACTGCTAAATAATCAGCATATTAAAAATTAACATTCTATATGAGAGTCTAAGTATGATGTTGACAAGGCATGAAAATATATTGGATTGTTCATTTATAGTGCATAATATGCAAATTGATTCAACATGAAAATGTGTTTCCATATATGAGACGTCTTCTAATATCATATACATAACTTTATTCCAGAGAAGTATGAACTTGAAGGATATAAAATATGATTTCTGATTTATTCCTATTTTTCACTGAATTACATCAAAGGGTTATGTAAAAAAAACTGACGTTTTTTGACATGATGGGCTTGGAAATACTTTTTTGAGATAAATCATTCTAATTTCTAGACTAATAACTTTTGTGCAAACTTACAGATCAATCACTCACTCTTTTTTTCCAGAAAAATAGTTGTTAAAAATACCCAAAATTGAAAAGCGTTGGCAAAGCTTTTCACCCAAATCAGGCTGAGGAAAGCACAAAAATATGATTTTCAATTTATATTTCTTAACTTGAACTATCTTTGCATATTTTTCTGTTTTAAGTGCCCCAGCTCATTTTATATAAGAAATTCAAATTTTAGGCTTTTAGACCTCAGTGGAGTCCCTTTAATAGTACCATTATTTCTGTATTTCCAGCATCCAGGTCGGCAACCAGGGTTTACACGCAAACATTTAGAACTTGAGATAGCTCGATTACGGGAAACGATGCATGAAAGCTTCGGTACAAATGAGCAGATAGTACATCGTCGTGACAGTCGTGTACATCGTATACGTCAGATTGAGGCGGAGATGATCTCATTACAACAACAAAGGCAACAGGTAGGTGTCGAACCAGTTTTTTTCCCAGGATTTTGGGAACATATATTTTGGGACCCAAACCAATGGAATTGGGAATTTCAGCGTTGTTTTGTTAAAAATTGGGGGAAAATGCTTGACTGAAATTTTGAATGTCAACAGTCACTGTCTAGGATGGCATCTTCAAACATTTAAGAACAGTGAAGAAGCCCTTATTTTCAAAGATTTTAGAATTTTTCATTCAATTTTTTTATATATATAACTTCAGTTGGGATTGATCTAAAATTTTGTACATGAGTTATTCGTCTAGACATACATCTGGTCATACAAATATTTTGAAAGAATATTTTCGGTCCCCTTACGTCGAAAACCTCAGTGGAGTCCCTTTCAGTTGAGGGTAGAGTTGGACTAGTGATAAAGATGTCTGCCAATCAGTCCTGAGTCAAGCGTATAAAACCTGCAGGATACAAGTCCTAATAGAGTCCTGATTACTGGAGTTGAATAATTGTTTTCCTCTGTGACCGAGTGTTTATTATCTCAGACTTATCACTCTTGGTTCAAATCACGTTGGGAACTTTGGATTCATTCATGTGAAAAAAGCTATCCAGCTAGCTTATGGAAATTCGGCTGTTCTAGTCAGATGCTGGTTTGTGCCTGAAATAATGCATAAAGGGTTCCTTTTGGTCTTCCTCAGCCGCGAAAGCGATATGACCTTTACAATTTTGGTGTTACCTAAATTTAGACTATCAAAGTATGTAGTGCTTTATCATAATATTATATAAATTATCACAGTTAGTTCCAGGAAGATGACTTGAAATAATGTTCAAGCTTTCATTATAATGGAGCTGAAATAAATAATTTCAAATAAATATGTTAAAAATTTTAATGTAGAGAAAGAGTCATTTCCTGACCGACTTATTTGAAGAGGAATAAATAACAGATTGTATAAAGTTCTCCAAAATGTTCTTGTTGGTCTGTCATGACATTTTAAGTCCATTTCTGCATTGCTATTCTTCACAGTTTCTGATAGATTACTGGGAAACGATTTTTCAGACAATATTTCTGCATATAGACAGTGACAGGGCACTTGATATTCCATTAACTTACAGGCGAGATATAGTGGGAAATATTGTCTGGAGCTTGCGCTACAAGTTTCAGGCAATTTTGTCTGTTGAATGTATCCAGAATCGGCCAAGCCAAGGGAGACTATTCATAATCATTTCTCAGGGAAAAATGCTAAAAGGTTTATCTTGTAAAGGTCATTTTAAATCTTGCTGTCTTTTTAGCTGCCAGGAGAAATGGGGGGATTTACTCAAGGACTTAAAGTCAGGTATAACCACTGGACGGTCCAACCAACTGTGAAATATTCCCTTTCTGATTATTGGGGACAAATTTTAGTTTAGTTAGAAATTCTGAAGAAGAAATGTGGGTTTTATCATCTGTTAAAGCCTTATATAACAAAATGAAATATTTGTTTTGTAGAAAAAATACTGCTGAAAAAATTGTTTTATTGTTTAGCCGTTTTTGTTTCTTTTTTTAATATTGCCAGATGTTACAGGGTGGTGATGGTCAAGGTCGTTTGAGACATGAGTCATCTTCTGACTCCGCCCACTCTGGTTCACCTGTTGACCTTGACACTGACCAAGTTACCATGGCAACACAGACGGACGACAGTCCCGGTGAACCACAGCAGGACAAGGTGGGGTTTGGACATGGTATTCCAGGGTCCATATACCATGGCACCTGGCCTATAGGAAAAGGTATGTCATTATTGATTAGAATTGGGAAAGATTACAATTGGCTATAGTAAAATAGATACCAAAGATACATGCATAACTTTTTTGAATCTACAATCTTTACTTTTGTCACAGGGTTAAATATTTTCTGGACTAGGAAATCACAGAAACAACCTCTGGGCATAGGCTCTATGTATTTAAATGAATCCATGGTCTAAAAAGATAATAAAATAATTATACATCTTACAAATACATTAGGTATAAAAACAAAATACAATGAAATAACAATGTATACTTTATCGACACGGAATAAGACTTAAATAAGATATACAATCAATATGTTAATTTTAATATTATTTCATACCACAGTGTCTGAATGAAGATTTACTTATGCAATTATTTCAATTTGAATTGAAAGAAAGTAAAAGTAGAATGATCTAAATAATAGTACATGAATTATTAAACGCCTGACTCGTAAGAGGTGACTGATTATAATGAGTGGGACACTGGAAAAGCAAATGATGCACAGAAGATAAGAATATTTAAAAGACATGATGGTTAATAGGACTAGATTTAATTCATATGAAAATAAAATCAAACCTAGTTTTATATCTTAGACAGGTGTCACACTTGTATGAAAATATTTAAAGTTACTGTAAATTTACAAATGGTAAGCAAGGAGGGTTCTGACAGGGTCTGGCCCAGAGTGTGTGTGGGTTAAATATCTACTTAAATACATTAGATTAGAATGTATCATTCAGTGGATAAAAGTGTATGAAATAATTTGCATGTTGAACTAAAAGTAAAAGAACATTTTCTAGTATCCAGTAAAGTGAACTACAGGCATGTATATGATATTTTGGTTTTGGAGTAATATATTTGGATATATTACCTGCCAAGATCTTATCTGATATTTAGAATGGCAGGTAATATATCGGTGTATATATCACTCCAAAACCAAAATAATAATTTTATAACCCTTCCCCTGCCGAGTAAGACCATTTTAAAATAAATTGTTGCTGTTTCAAATGAAACATCGAAATAAGATTCCCTTTAGGGTACCCCTTTACTGCAAAATGATGTCAACATAGCGCAACATTGAACCATACACGTAATGTCACAACGCATGTTGTTTACAACGTGGGGTAGCCAAAGGGGAAATTTTATGTGTATATATCTTATCTGTCCCGGTAATATCAATTTCCTCTGGCGGATCAATATCCAATCAAAAAGGGGGATAAAATCTGGATGGGTAATAAATATGTTTATGTATTAACAGTTGACAATATTCATGCTTCCATTAGTATATATGTTTATGTATTAACAGATGACAATATTCAAGCTTCCATTAATATATATGTTTATGTATTAACAGATGACAATATTCAAGCTTCCATTAATATATATGTTTATGTATAAACAGATGACAATATTCAAGCTTCCATTAGTCACCATGGTGACCTGTCCAGTGTGATGAGTTTTAATTCAACCAATACCAGTAGTTCTCATGGATCTGGTTCTGGGTTGAAAGGTCAAGGACACTCGGCAGCCGGAGGTCATGGTCAGCCAAGGTCATCACAAGGTCAGCAACAACAGCAGCAGCAACAGCTACACTCACAGCCAATCCCCCTCACCCCTCAGATACCCCCTCAGCAACTGGGTACTAAGGTATGAGACCCCTTTAGAATATGTTATAGAATTAAGAAAATCTTGGCCTATAAAAATGTTAAAGAATTTTTAAAAAAAATTGGTCTATATTATAAGTTATCTATATATTTAACAGGTTATATGGCCCTTTATAATCAGTTGTTTGGAAATATAACCTTGGTTACACTGCAAACAACCTTTCATATACGGCCATATAACCTGTCAGAATTTTTTACAACAAATTTATGTAGAACTAAGCTTTTATAATACATGTAATATATAAAAGAAACTTAAGTCTGGTTTTATTTTTAGGAAGAACTTGAACTCTGTAAATATAAGTAGAACTTGTCTTTTATTGTTCATAGAATTTGAACTATTGAATTTAAGTAAAACTTGACCTATATAATGCTAGTTTGAATTCAAGCACACGTGCATACTAGAGGAAAATGTAAGCTCAAGCCGGTGCTAGGGGGTGTGAGGGATGTGGAACTTTTTCTTTATCCCTCATGTACGGACTCAATCAAACTGAATCTGCTATTTTTGTGTCGCTTTGAAAAGGCGACATATAGGGGTTACTTTTATCGGCATTGGAGGCGTCCCCTAACGCTTGTCCAGAGCATAACTCAGTCACTATAAGTGGGATTGACGCCAAACTTATTTTGCATGCTTGTTTCAATAACTTGAAGTGCTGTGCACAAGGACCGGTACTCTGCACTTCTTAATTTTTGAGTTATTGCCCTTTGTTGAATTTCTACTTCATAGGATGATGGATCTCATGAAGAAGAAGTGCAATGCATAAAATCCGATACTCTGCACTTTTTATTTTTTTGAGTTATTGACCTTTGTTAATTTTCATTCTTTATTTTTGTCAGGGCCATTTCTCATAAACTATAAAAGCATCTTTTTCCATTTTGTTATAATTATATATTTCAGGTGGAGATGGTGTATGGATTGTTGTCTATGTTAGGTACCCATGACAAAGATGATATGTCTCGTACATTACTGGCAATGTCTAGTTCACAGGACAGTTGTATTGCCATGAGACAGTCAGGTATGTTTTAATTAGTTTGTTTATACAAATTTATTTCATGGGTACAAGTTTCCAGGCATTTGCCAGATGTTCAGGTCTATTACACTTCTGGAAACACTCATTTTTTTCTATATAAAACCAATTTAACGTAATGCTAAATTTTTACGTTTTAGGTTTTTTGACAGTTTAACGTGCACCCATGCAATATCTTAGTTTGATTGTGTTAAAAGCTATAAGCTTATTGAAACACTTGAATCCATTCCAGGAACCAGCCAGTTCTAATATATGAATGTAAAGTTTCTTGCTCAAGGAAACATTGGCTAGCTCCAGACAGATTTTGAACTCAAGGCTGCACAAATCCCATGTATTCTTTAAGGGATCAACTTTATACTTCAAATATATGTACCTTATCATCAATCACATTTACTTGAAAAATGTAGTTTTTACTATAACTTCTTTAGTTTTAAAGCAGCATGCCTCCAGTTTTATGCTAATGTTCACGAACATTTTGAAAATGTATTTGAAAGAAAAATACTGTAAAAAGACCAAAGAAAATAATTTACACATTGCAAACAGAACTTAAATCCACATAAATAACCAAAAAGAGGTCAAAATATACATAAATACCTCTTACTGCGTTAGTAACCCAGTAGAATTATAGTGATTGATACTGCAAAATCTGTCATAAATTGCACATAACATGTGAATTATTAATTAAATATTGAATCTTTTTACATTTCTTAAGATCTTAGTACATTTTTCTAAAGATTGAATTTCTTGAAATATTTTGGCTCATCTGGAGGCGTGCAGCTTTAAAGGTATCTACCTCAAACTTCAAATACTTATTCCTTATCATCAATTACATCTCATGTGACAAGGGTCATAACTCTTGAAGCAATATTTTCAGGTTTATCTCTCTTTGAATTTAGGATTTTCTTTTAGAAATATTATAAATTCTTTACTTTTTAAGGTATCTACTTTTTACTTCAGATATATATTTCTTATCATTACACACATGTTGTTTGACAAGGTTCATAACTCTAGCATGACTATTTCCAGAATTATTCCCCTTTGAACTTGGAATTTATATTAACAAATGTTATTTTTTTACTATAACTTAATACATAATTATACATAATTTTTCATAGTATTGTCTTCTTTACTGCGTCCAGTTTTTTATTAGGCGAGCTTTTCTGTCTCCTGTGACAGCTGTTGTATATTTTACAATTAAAAGCTAAAAGATAATCCATGTATCCAATGGAAATTTTTATAACTGTCATTCATGAAATAAACTTAAGTTTTATATAATATATATTTCATTACAACAGGTTGTCTGCCACTGCTGATACAATTACTACATGGTTCAGATAAAGAATCTGCGTTGCTTGGTAACACACGTGGTAGTAAAGCTGCTCGCGCCAGGGCGTCAGCTGCCTTGCACAACATTGTGCACTCTCATCCGGATGACAAGAGAGGCAGGCGCGAGGCCCGGGTATTGAGATTGCTTGAACAGATTCGGGCTCACTGTGACCAGCTGAGAGAAAACACCTCTGATGAGGAAGATGAAGGCGTTAATCATGGTAAATATTTAATCATTTAAAGCAGCATACTTTATTTGAAAAAAAAACTGATGTTGAGTAAAGCCTTTTAAAAGATTTAGAACTGATTAAGAATTCATAACCCCTTAGGTTCAGATTAGCTGTAGGTTCAAACAGGCTGTATGTTCAGACCTCTGATGTAGTTTCAAACAGACTGTATGTTCAGACCTCTGATGTAGGTTCAAACAGACTTGAAGTTCAGATCTCTACTTTAGGCTCAGACCTCTGATATAGATTCAGACCTGATGTAGGTTCAGCTGCAATATAGGTTCAGCTGTGCTTGTGTGTAAAATTTCAGATCATTTGATCTTTATCTTTTTCCGGATTAATAAATTTTCAATTCAAATTTTAGCATGTTTCTTTATTATGGTTTGCATATTTTACTGTTTTTAGCTCACCTGTCACAAAGTGACAGGGTGAGCTTTTGTGATCGCTTTTCGTCCGGCGTCCGTCCGTCCGTCGTCCGTCCGTCGTCCGTCCGTCGTCCGTCCGTCCGTCCGTCCGTAAACTTTTACTTTAAATGACATCTCCTCATAAACCACTAAGCCAATTTCATCCAAACTTCACAGGAATGTTCCTTTGGTGGTCACCTTTATAAATTGTTCAAAGAATTTAATTCCATGCAAAACTCTGGTTGCCATGGCAACCGAAAGAAAAAACTTTAAATATCTTCTTTTAAAAAACCATAAGAGCTAGAGCTTAGATATTTAGCATGAAACATCTTCTAGTGAGTGTCTACCAAGTTTGTTCAAATAAAAGCCCTGGGGTCAAAATTGGCCCCGCCCCGGGGGGTCATTGATTTTCCCTATATGCATATAGTAAAAACTTAAAAAAATCTTCTTTTAAAGAACCCAAAGAGCTAGAGCTAAGATATTTAGCATGAAACATGTTTCTAATGGGTGTCTACCAAGTTTGTTCAAATAAAAGCCCTGGGGTGAAAATTGGCCCGCCCCGGGGGTCATTGATTTTCCCTATATGCATATAGTAAAAACTTAAAAAATCTTCTTTTAAAGAACTCAAAGAGCTAGAGCTTAGATATTTGGCATGAAACATCTTCTAGTGAGTGTCTACCAAGTTTGTTCAAATAAAAGCCCTGGGGTCAAAATTGGCCCCGCCCCGGGGGGTCATTGATTTTCCCTATATGCATATAGTAAAAACTTAAAAAAATCTTCTTTTAAAGAACCCAAAGAGCTAGAGCTAAGATATTTAGCATGAAAGATGTTCTAATGGGTGTCTACCAAGTTTGTTCAAATAAAAGCCCTGGGGTGAAAATTGGCCCTGCCCCGGGGGGTCATTGATTTTCCCTATATGCATATAGTAAAAACTTAAAAAATCTTCTTTTAAAGAACTCAAAGAGCTATGGCTAAGATATTGAGCATCAAACATGTTCTAATAGGTGTCTACCAAGTTTGTTCAAATACAAGCCCAGGGGTCAAAATTGGCCCCGCCCCGGGGGTCATTGATTTTCTTTATATGTGTTTAGCAAAAACTTTAAATCTTCTTTGAAAAAACCCAAATAGCTAGAGTTTAGATATTAAGCATGAAACATCTTCTAGTAAGTGTCTACAAAGTTTGTTCAAATAAAAGCCCTGGGGTCAAAACTGGCCCTGCCCCAGGGTGTCATTGTTTTTAACTATATGTGTATAGTAAAAACTTTAAAAAAAATCTTCTTTTAAAAAGCCCAATGAGCTAGAGCTTAAATGTTTAGCATGAAACATCTTCTTATGGGTGTCTACCAAGTTTGTGCAAATAAAAGCTCTTGGGTTAAATTGGCTCTGCAACGTTGGGGGGGGGGGGGGGGGGTGGGGGGCCTATATACAGGTGAGCGACCTCAGGGCCATCATGGCCCTCTTGTTTAGTGCTCTTACTGACATTTGTGTGAAGTTTTTAGGCTTTTCAAATCACAGGGGAGCCACTTTAAGTAAGACTTCACAATAATTTAATCCTTTCAAGACCAAAGCCTCTCAACAACAAATGAAATCTTTGTTGGTTGTACAGTATGAAAGATTTTATTATCTGACTTGTGTTTGGTAAATGTACATTTTGTAATGTTGTATATTTCAGTACATCAAGGTATAACCATGGACCACCATCCTGGACCAGCCATAGCTACACTGATGAAGTTATCATTTGATGAAGAACACAGACATGCTATATGTACACTTGGTAAGTAGGTTTTGTTTACAACTTTTCAACACATCTTTTAACATTTTCAAGTTGCTGTGTGTTATTGTAATTATTGATATAGGGACTCTTGTTATTTAACATGGTTTGGCAAATGAAGGAGGCTGTCAGTTAATTAAGAAATGATATATCCAACTCAGTGATTTTATAGTTCGTTTTGGATGCAATGAAATTATGCCCTAGTGATATAATGATGCACATCCGAAAGACAAACAGTGACTTTATCAAGCAATAAAATCACTGATTTCGATATATTATTGCGATTCTAACAGGACATCAACAAATAAATGCTGCAATATCTGATATCAGATTAAATTGCGCCTGATTTGTTTCCGTACTTATTTTCAGCGTGTCACATTTTTAATGGTTACATCACATCTATAATGCTTATGTCACATTTCTTAATATAGAAAGTAAACAGTAATTTTATTGCATAATACACACTTGGTTCTTCTATGTTCAATAAGGGAAAATGCCAGTTGTGTTAGAATAATTCCTAATAAAAAGCCAGAGATTCATGTTGCTTTATGTAGAAAATGATAAATCAAAATTGTTGTTACAAATGTATTAAAAATATTTTGTATTAATAATTATAGATATAAAGCGTTGGAGAACGTTAAATTGATATATGTTGTTGTATGTTTTTTTCAGGAGGACTGCACGCTATTGCGGAGCTCCTCCAAGTTGATAACGACGTAAATCGTGACACAGATGACCAGTATAATATCACCATGAGAAGATACGCCTGTATGGCGCTGACAAACCTCACGTTCGGGGACGGAACAAATAAATCACTGCTGTGTTCACTTAAAGACAGTATGGAAGCTTTAGTCTTGCAGTTATTTAGTACTAACGAGGAATTATGCCAGGTGGCCGCGAGTGTTTTAAGAAACTTATCATGGAAAGCCGACCTTGCTAGTAAAAAGACGTTGAGAGAAGTCGGTGCAGTGACGACGTTAATGCAAGCATCAATGAGAGTTCAGAAAGAAACGACACTGAAGAGTATTCTTAGTGCATTATGGAATTTATCGGCTCATTGTAGCGAGAATAAAGCAGATATATGTGCTGTGGATAGGGCTTTAGAGTTTTTGATAAGCTCTTTGACTTATAAAAGCCCTTCAAAGACTACTTCAATTATCGAGAATGGAGGAGGTATTTTACGGAATGTATCTAGTCATATAGCTGTTAGGGAAGATTATCGCCAAATACTACGCGTTCATGGCTGTTTGCAAATTCTGTTGAAACATTTAAGGTCTCCGAGTTTAACTATAGTTAGTAACGCTTGTGGAACTTTGTGGAATTTATCTGCACGTTGCGCTGAAGATCAGCAGGCTTTGTGGACATGGGTGCTGTGGGCATGTTACGAAATCTCGTGCACTCAAAACATAAAATGATATCTATGGGAAGTAGTGCAGCATTAAAGAATCTTCTAGCTGCTCGACCAGCCATGAAAAATATTGAAATGAATAAGCAAGCAAATGGAAATCGTCCATCATTACATGTCAGAAAACAGCGTGCCCTAGAATCAGAGATCGACCAAAATTTATCAGAGACTTGTGAAAATGTAGAGAGTCCGAGGGACAGTCCAGTTGAATCAAAGAAACAAGAATCCGGTCATTTTATGTATCCAGTCTATCCATTATTAGATGGTGAACGGCAGCGACAAATGTTAAGGGGGCCAATTATTCCAAGAAGCCAAAGTGGGGACCATGCTCTATATGAAAATCAACTAAAAACTCAACCAGGTGTAGCAAGGTCTGGAAGTCAAGACAGTGTGGGAAGCACACACTCTGACATTTCTCACGATAGAGCAAGGCATACCTCTGGAGGGAAAGCTGGTGCCCGTACTCATCCAAACATGGGTGGTAGCTTAGACAGACATAAGGAAGGGTTACAAGTTGGTCAGAGAGTCTTATTCGAGGGTAGAACAGAACGCAATCCACTTGGTGCTCCGAACAGTAGAATTTTGCAAGTCATGCAGGAAGTTGCACTGCATGCTGGTATCGATGGTCAACCACCAGATAATGACTCTGCAGTTTTCAAAACTCCACTTCCTGTCTCCATTGTAAGGTCCCAGAATCATGCATCATTACAGCAACATCAACAACAACAGCAACAACAACAACATCATTTTCAGTCTCAGCAGCATGCGTCATATCCAGCTCATGTTCTAAGTGCTCAACATGCATCCGCTTACCAGAGATACTTGGTGAACAACTTACCTCAGAATCAGTCGGGCCAATTTAATGTACCAAACACAATATACCAAAATCAAAGACTTCAACAGCAACAACATCAGGATGGTAGAAACGGAGATGATGATGACGAGAAACCTTTAGATTATAGTATGAAGTATCATGAAGGTGGTCTAGCTAACCAAAGAGATCCAAGGCTAGGTCAGCCCCCACATCCTCCAATGATGGGTAACTATGTCGGGAACCAGCAATTACCACCAGGTAGTGTTCAGAACCAGTTCAATAATTCAGGTAAAAATATGTTCTATGCTGGACAAGAAGGAAATAAACACTTGAATAATTACAATAGTGCTTACGCTGAAACTGATCTGGATGATCCTGATCAGCCAACAGATTATAGTGCTCGATATGGTGCTGAATATAACGCTGAACAGTATAACGATGAAAGAATTAATTACGCTGCCCAGTATGAAGAATCAGATCCCCATTGTGCTGATTGTAAACTAGAAGAAGCTCGCAGATATAACGATAGTCTAGACCAGGCTATTGATGATGACCAGATTAAAACATTCTGTACAGAGGATACTCCTTACCTTAGCACTGCAACTTCTCTAACTGACTTAAGTACGGCTGTGAAGATTCTGGAGGAAGCTGAACATCATTGTCCTGCAGAGGAGAATGATGATGAAACTCAGAATTATAGCTCTAAATATGGAGAAAAATCTGCCACAGATCAAAGTTCTAAGTCTGATGAGATGAGTTTGAGATTAAGGTCAGACCAAGGCCAAAGATATGAAGGGGATAAAAGCAGCCGATCTGGGAGCAATATTACTGATATTCAGACTGGAACAACTGTAATAGCAAATTATCACTTGAAATTTGACCGAAGATCACAAGAGTCAAACAGTAGGGACAGTGATGAGCCACAGGAGAGAAGCTTTCATGACAACAATAACGATCTTGCTCCTTACGATCAGCCAAAGACTTACTGCGAAGAAGGCACACCAGTTTTCTCACGTGTGAGCTCACTAAGTAGCCTACATAGCAGTGAAGCTGCAGACAGGCAGGATCCAAGTAAACGACCTGCTGGACCTTTAGAAAGTATTGATGAACATGCTTGTGCCAATAATAGTATGGTAAAAATGCCACCCCCTCCCATGACTCCAAACACATTTAGACAAAAACACGATGAGCTTAGAGATGGTAACACTGATAGTGCTGAAAAAGAACACAAAACTGTAACATTTGATGACAAAGAGCATGTTCAGGAAACACCAATGATGTTCAGTAGATGCACTTCTTTAGGTTCATTGAGCAGTTTTGATACACAGTCTGTTCACAGCTCTGTCTTTAGTGAATATAGCAGACGTGCAAGTGAAGTGGTCTCTCCAAGTGAACTCCCAGACTCACCGAGTGAAACCATGCCACCTAGTCCAAGACGAACTAAATCACCAGAGAGAAACCCAAATAGAAAACCAGTTAATCAGGAATTATTCCCATCAAATAAACAAAATGGGAATGACATGTTTCCCAGGGGACATCAGCCTCCTTTACCTCAACAGTTTACATCTAAAGTCAATGATTCAGTGCAGAGAGTGAATCCCTTGGGACATTTTTTTGCCATGAGCTCTATGGATAAAATGTTGGACTATGAAACTTGTTCTTCCAAATCCGAAGCACCTGTAGTCTATGCAGAAGAAGGTACACCTCCAGTGTTTCAGGATAACCTTAGTGAACTCAGCTGTATTACAAGTGATAACTATAACATAAATGATAAGACATTAGTAGAAACACCTAAAAGTAAAGGTAGTCATGCAAATAGTTCCCATAGCAACCAGAACGATGAGACATTAAAAAGCAAGTCTGCAAGCAATGGCGGTGTGCCTTTGAAAAAGATTGAAGTAGAGAATGGTGCTGATACTCAAAGTAATTCGTATGCAAATCCTGTAGATAACAATGCCAAAGCAGATGGTGCCAAAACTGATGCAAATACTAAACAAGACAAAGCTAATTCAAACAAAGCAGATGATAAGGATATGTCATCCAACTCAGATGTATCTGAAGGAGAAGATGATTTGCTAGCTAATATTATCAGCTCTGCAATGCCAATTAGTTCTAAGAAAATTCGGAAAAGCTCTTCGGACAATGTCATTAAAAGAAAATCAAGTGGTTCTAGTAAACCTGACAGTGGATCAAGTTCAAGGTCATCCAAAACTCCTGCCAAGTCAGGACAAAATGTTGAAAGTAGTGGTAGATCTTCAAGTGGACAAAGCTCTGCTAAGAAAAGCTTGAAACTTACTAACAAAAGCCAGGAAGTTTCACCAGATTCTAAATCTAAGTGTAGCAGTCAAGGATCACAGGGATCTTCTCCAGGAAAACAAAAATCACACATACCAAGACCTCTTCAACACAAGCAAGTTCAGCAAATGTCTCAGTTGGATTCAAGCATTGATTCTACGGGATTAGAAGAATCACCTTTTAATACTTCAAACGCACAGTCAGTCATTACACGATCAGTACCAAAGTCAGAAGCACAAACAAATATCAACAATCCTTTTATTCTCCAGAAAGCCAGAAATCTTTCAAATTATGAATTTGAAGAAGAAGGCTGCAAAACATTTGCAACTGAGGATACTCCTTTTTCTGGATCAATGCAGACGTCGCCGCAAATGAATAGAAAGTTTGAAGATCACCATAGAATACCAGACAGTTATAACCAAGATACAGTAAGATCATTTGCAACTGAAGATACGCCATTCAGTGGATCTGCACCAGAATCACCGAAAATGGCAAGAGCTAAACAGTTTCGAGATGAATTTGATACTGAAACTGACAGCATTAAATGTTATAATACAGAAGATACACCATTCAGCGGATCTGCATATGCCTCTCCTAAAGTTGGTTCACCAAAATCAAACAGGAAGGCTTCAGTACAAAACTCAGTACAAGAGGCAGTGACCCAAAATCACAATGTATTTAGTAAGCCTGCTCCATATACTCAAAAGCTACCAGATGCCAAGCAACAGCCTCTACCTCAAAACGTGGTCTCTAGTCAACAACAGAATTCCAGGCATCTAGCTAATCCAGCTGTTAATCAGGCTTTGGCCAATCGTGGGCTTCCATCTATCCATCCACAGTTCAATCCACAGATTTTTGGCTTTTTGAGGAATGACTTTGATAATGGAGAGGATGCCATCATGACTTACGCTACTGAAGGGACGCCACAGAATTACTCAAGAACTGGCTCATGTAGTGACTTAAGTAGTCTGAATGCAAATTTTGATGAGCATGTCAAGATAAGTGATAAGGTATCCTCTGCCACAAACAATGAAAACACTATTCCTCCTGCTAGAGTAGATGATTGTCACTCGGACAACAGTTCTTCAATTGAGGAAAGTGAAGATCTTCTTTCTGAATTGATAATGTCCGCTATGCCTTCACCAAAACCAGGGAAGCTACGTCGATCTATGGATAGGAAACCTGAAGGTGCTGAAAGTAATCGTCCAGATAAAAACATAGTTATGGAAAAGAAAATTAATGACTCAAACATACCAAAACATTTCCAGCCACAGAGGACATCAAGTTTAACACAGGATCAAAGGAATGCCTGTAATGTGCCACAATATCAACATTTTTCTGATAGTGCAGATCAAGTGAAAACATATGCTATTGAAGGTACTCCAAGCAATCTGTCACAAGCAACATCCCTCAGTGATCTAACTACGGACTCAAACTACCCAGCTGATAAACCTAAAGGTAGAAAATCTCTTCCATCCAGTGTGGCAATGGACACTAGTGTAGGCACCAGTGCAAACACAAACTATAGTCATACTGCCACTTATGGTACTTCAAATGACTCTGTTTTCCTTCAGTCAGATGGAGGGGGTGACTCCATGAAAGTTTATAAAACAGAAGGTACACCTCAGTCATTCTCCTGCAATGATTCTCTGAGTTCATTAAGTATAATGACAGACGATAGTAAAAATGATATGTCACAGCAAATTAAAGCTCTTGCCAATCAACTTGTCAAAGGCGATAATAGTCCAGCCAAACAATTCTCAAATAATGCATCACAGAACCAAGTTACAGAGAATATCAGTGTTGAAAAGAGACCTGAATCTCGTTCTTCAAGTGTAAGTAATAACTCTATGCAGTCTGGGAAACATTTGGAGAGACACGTGGTTGGTCAGTCAAGTGAGGAACAGTCAGTTAAAGAAGAACCAATCTCAAAGATTCATTCTGTATCCGATGAAACAAAAAAGTATGGTGTAGAAGGAACGCCATTATGCTTCTCTAGAAATTCATCTCTGAGCTCAATCCATGACTTAGAGAATGAAAAAACTGTTGAAAACACAAACAAAGCTAAACAAAAACATGCCAACGAAGGGCATTCTAAACATGCGTCTAGAGATGAACAAGCTGGCTTTAAGGTGGAGCATACACCAATTTGTTTCTCTAGGAATAGCTCACTAAGTTCCCTTAGCGTTCACTCTGATGAGGATGATGATCCTGATGACATGGCGCTGTTGGAGGATTGTATAAGTTCAGCTTTGCCACCAAGGACTAGACCATCGCGAGAAGAATTGAGACGTAACACACAATCTATTAGGGGTGATAAAAATCACAGTGGCAATAGTAGAACTGGTAATCTGGCATATAAAAGGAATGCATCTTCAGGTGATGAACTGGAACGATCTGGAGAACACGATTCCAGATACTCTAACTGGCGTCAACAACCTCACAAGTCAAGTGATGAGATATTTCGTAAACCAACAATGGACGCTAAGGGACGTCCTTGCAGGCGGTCAAGGTCACAGGATAGTGAGAAACATTACAAGGATATGTCCAATCATCAGTTAGCTCAGTATGGTACAAATGTACACAGAGGCTCGTGGGATTCAGTAGCAATGTATCAAGGAACTCAAGGAAGTCATTTACATAACAATGAAGCTGTGGAAAAACAGCGACAACAGTTGATCTCTGAAACCCAGAATATTGTACATCAAGTACAGAAAATGACTAGAAGTGTGGAGAAAGGAGATGACCATGAAAGTGAGAAGACGGATTCTCCCGCATCAGATTATAACTTCTTCATGACTTGCAGTGGAAACACAGAAATAAGTGTAGAGAGTATAAGCAAACAGTCATTTCCAAGCAGTATGGCTCCTGATACAGATGAGGATATTCTAAATGACTCCCTGGTTGGTAGTTACCGCTTTGGTGCTGATGGAGATGAAACAGCAGGTCAAATGAGTCATGATGCAACGCTGACTGAAAGAAATATTACTAAAGCCATGAATAGTTTTGATAATGAATGTTTAGGTAACAGAGGTATGAAGGTGCAAGGAATGGAGGCAAGTATAACATCTGAAGACGAGAGAGCTTTAGCTGAGAATGCCAACATTGTAATGTCGGAAATGATGAATCGTATGGTGCTATCCGGTACATCAACTGTTGACGAAGAAAATTTCATAGAAAATGAGACTCTGTCTCTTGTTTCAAATGGTTACATGTCAGATACTCCTTCAGAGGCTTCCAACACTTGGTCAGTGGACTCAGACTTCCCCAGTGAAAGTTCAGGAAATAAAGCAAACAGTAATAGTAGCAGGGGTCCAAGAATTGTGAAACCAGGAACTCCTATGCAGACTCAGAAAACCACAGAGCCTGAAGTTAAAGGTGTTCGAGGAAAACGAAAGCCATTGTACAGCAGTAAATCGGTGTCTTCTCCCTCCTCATCTACAAATTCCATTGCTAAAACAAACAAGGGTAGGATACAGTCTGGTTCCAATATTGGTAAAATTTCTCCGAGGACAGTTCCTGGTTCATCATCTCCAACTACATTGAACCAGTCCAATGCTGGAAAGAAATCTTTGAAGACGATGCCTCAAGCTTCCAGTACGCCTGTAAAGGCCAGCCAAGGAGCACAGAAGTCTCGAGTCAGTAAACCAGGAACGCCACAAAGGTCTTCGTCACTTGACCAAAGATCACAACACAATGCTAGACAAACTCTAGGAAATCGTAGCTCTTCTTCAAACAGGAGTGACTCAGTGAATCGTAGTGATTCTGCAAACAAAAGTGGGTCATCAAATAGAAGTGGCTCATCAAATAGGAGTGGGTCAGCAAATAGGAGCAATAACTCTAACAAGAGTCAGTCTTCCAATTCACCTTCCAAAATTCCTTCCAAATCAAATACTAATACAAGGGTAACAAAAGATCCAAATGAGACGACTGACAAACCAAAATCTCTGTCTAAGCAGGGAACATTTATTAAAGAATCAACCAATAGAAATGCACCAGTGATTTCCCCTGATGAGAAAAATAAGGAAAATATTGCAGGTGTAAGGCTGAGACAGAAGAAAATTAGTGAATCCTCCAGCATCAATCGTAATTCCAGTGGATCTTCAAAATCTAATTTTAGTAACACTTCTAATAATAGTAACAGTTTTTCCACAACATCGAGTGACAGTCCACCAGATTCATGGAGCAAGGCATTAAGTACTTACAGTTTCACACCTGAACAGACACCAAAAAGGAAAAAGGATTCTAAACTGAAGAAGACAGCAACGTCTGAAGTGAAGAACACGTTGAAAGGCTCAAAAATCCCAAGCCCTTGTAAAACAGGCTTAAACAAATCCGGAAGTGGACAGAGTCTTCGAAGTTCCTCAAGTAGGGATAAAGTTACTAAGTCAAGTAGTGGTGTTTCACTTGCAAGTGTTTCAAGTGGGCTCATCAAGACAGGATCCAACAATAGTTTAAAGACGAATTCTAGACCCTCCACTCCAGTGAATATGAGTAGGAAAGGATCATCTTCCAGTGAAACAGCGAAAAATGATAAGAAACAAAACGGTAAGAAGGGTGTGACCAGCAAAATCTCTGGTCTTTGGAAATCTGAGGACAAAGGTAAAAATAAAGATAAAAAAGCTGTATCAAAATTGCCTATTGCAAAGGGGAAAGAAAAATCAAAAGACAATAAAAAGAAAGATGAAGCATCTAAGAAGAGAGGAACATCACCAAAGGCAAATACCAACCGAAATACATATATACTTGATGAATCTACCGTAGAAGGCTTAAATAGAAGTTCAACATATGATAAGTTAGATGTAACTAATGAAAAAAGTCAAATTCCAACGCACGATAATTCCCAAAAATCTGGCTCGCACATGAATAAAAGTGCAAGTGTTTCTAGTAATGAGGGCAAGCCGACCAAACAGATTAAGTCCATATTTGATGATAATGAATTAAACAAGACTTGCCGAGATTTTTCTGCTTTTGAAATTGGTGTAGAGTATAATCTGGATGATGCTTGGGCTTCAAATGTGGAGAAATCAATAGAAGTTATGTCTAAGAGTATAGAAGATAACCGGAACAAAATAGACAGCTACTATGATGATACTGTTGACACCAGTAGAATGGACTTGACTGGATCACCGGCTAAGAGACTCAGTAAAAGTGGATCCATGAGTGAGATTGAGCTTGAGTTTGGAAGAATTCACTCTGGGACGTGGACAAAAAAGAAGTCGCATAATGACTATGCGACATTGCCACATGCAGAAGATTCAAGTCGTACGTTACCGTTAGTGAAAAGATCAGAGAGTTTGAATTTCTCAGCAAACATGACAGTGTCGCATTATGACTATGACGAGAATCAGGAAGTTTGGATACGACGGGATGATAAGTTGAGAGCATCAGATATCTCTGGTATGTCAACCAAGAAGAAGAAAGGTTTCCGTGGTTCTTCAGGTTTCCTCAATGCAGTGAGTAAAATGTTTGGTGGTTCCAAAAAGTCCAACACTGATAAGCAGAGCAAGTCTATGATCTTGACGGAGAAAGATGGTAAAAAATCTGGAGAAAATGGTAAACAAAACAAGAAAGAAAAAGAGGCCAAGATGAACAAATCTGAGATAAAATTGAGTAAAGCCGAACAGAAGCAGTTAAAGGCTGAACTGAAAGCTCAATCAAAATTAAACAAAAGTGAATTAAAAATGAGCAAAAAGGAGGCAAAATTGAATAAAAGTGTTAAATGTGAGAAGAAGATAGAATCAGATGATAATTCTAGCCAAGTTCTTGGATCGTCAACCTCTAGTTTAAAAAGAAGTGCTGAATACCTCATAGACATTGATAAGTCAGATGATGAAGATTATAATGTACTTAGTTCAAATGCTCCGAAGGTTTGCTTATCAAATGTGAAATCGACTGGTCAAAAAAGTCCAGAGTTAGGTAAATATCAAAGAAACGATCAAAACAGTGTTCAGAATCATAACTCAAATGTGCCATTTTCAAACAATGTGAAAGTAAACGCTTCCAATAATTGTACAGTAGATAATTATGATATTGACAGATATGAAAGTACAGCTGACAAGTCGCAGTTAAATGCATCTGCCAAATATTCGCCAACCCAGCATTTAACTAAGACGGAGATGCTGTTAGCAAGGCGGCAAGCTCAGCTGAACACGTCATCGGAACGTAGCGAGTCTGACGAAGAAACAACGGGAAAGAAGAGAAGCATCATTACGACAGTTTAATCATTGTAATATATATGTGTGTATATACAATATTTCACCATCTTTCATTGTAAATAATCATGTAAAACAACTGTACATTTTTTGCCACCATTAATGTTGAAAGTTTTTTTTCTATATTCTCAGATTTTTATGCATTTATGCAATAGTTTTTTTCTCTTTTTGAGTAAGGAAGTTGACACTTTTTAAAGGCAAAATAATATTGATAGCACTTATAGAAATGCTGACTAATAGTTACTGTCACTTGATCTGATGAAAACTTGAAATGAAATACTATAACTATTATTGATTTATTTAGAAAGAAAATTTAGTTTGTTGTTGTTTTTGAGGTCTCAGGCAGACAATATAATTATTTGACAAACATGAAAATTTTCTGGATTTTACTTTTTTTTTGAAAAAGTAAAAATCAAATATAAGTGTAAGAATAAATTGTCAGCAAATGGACAGTAACAAAGTTAACCTCGCACACTCTCACTTTGTGAGTATCACACAAAATCATCATTATCATCATCATTGTCATCATCAAAATCATCATTAATATCATCATTATCAATACATACATTTTATTGTTGTAATTATGTACGTACAGTTGTATGAAATATCATTTTTATATCATAATTTATAGTGAACACTATGTTACCTTCCAAACAGAAGTATTTGTGGAACATTTTTGCTTTAATATTTTTTAAATTAATATAAGTTAGGTTGTACTTCAGTATACTTATTTTTAAAATGCAAAATCAAGAAACTTAAGAAGTCATGTTGAAATTTACTCAGCCAAAATTTATTGTAGGTTGTACTTTTTTGTTACAGAAAGTGAATTCCACAAAAAGTTTTGTAAAAAAAAAACAAACAAAAAACCAAATATTTTATTGTTCATAGGGTAAATAAGAATTTTTCTTATTACATGTATAGCAATAACATTAGTTGATACATCACTATAGAGTTAAAAAAAAGAAGGCAGAATTGATGATTCAATGTGTTGTTAAATGGTTGTGAATTCTTTGATCGTGATTAACTTGGAATGATTTCCTGACCACCTATTTTTTGTCATGGTGAGTTTTCATTTAGTGTCATTAATTTCTTTTATTTCATAAAACTGATTGTTTGTAACGTCGTTTTTCATTGGATAAAGCATGACTGATATTTACATTCATTAAAACCTTTATAACATGGCTGCTGTCAATATATGATGTATATTTCGTTTTTCCTCTAAATAATTTTGCTGTGTGATGAATAAGTTATTAAGATGTTAGGCAGGTTAGTTAAATGGTTATATGGTTACTTATGAAAAGGTTGTCTGCAATTTTATCTGGTTATATGGTTAGTTATGTAACATTGTCTGGCTAAAATACTTTGTGTGCTCCTGATCTTGTAAAATCCACATGAGTCAAATATAAGTTCTCAATCACTTTTGTAATAGCCACCATGGCACTATAAATAGAAACAAATATTTTAATTAAGTCCATCTGTAATTATGTATCTTGATAAATACAATTTGTATAATTTCATATAAATTCATTTATTAGTTCATTCATGTCTTAATTTCATGCATTATTGTCACAAAATAATGTCTTCAATTTTAGAGAAGGTAGTTTTAGATGGCAATGCGTGTGTTGTTACCATAAAATAGGATGAATAGTTTAATATAGAAAATAAGAAATATTTACATGTTTTCATCAGAAATTGAAATATGGGTAGAGCCTGGATGGATTGAAAATACATTAATATTGATAATAAATGTTTTAAGCACTGACAAAAAATGTAGGAAAATAATTTTATGTATTTTTGTTATGTTAGCCACTACAGTATTATCATCCTAGTTATTCAAAATGTAAATGGGAGTGAAATGTAACAGCTGTCATAACTTTTAGTCAATCATGTGTAAAAGAAATTAAATGTGCTAGGGAGTCAATCATACCAGCCATGCTATATTGTATAATGATAAGTAGATTGATTCATCAGAATATTACTTATAATGTTAATATTAGCATAAAAGGGAGTAAAATGTAACAGCTTAATTGGAATAGTTAATATTAGCATGAAAGGGAGTAAAATGTAACAGCTTTATTGGGATAGTTAATATTAGCATGAAAGGGAGTAAAATGTTACAGTGATTTGATTAATTGGAATACTGTTATGTTATTATTAGTCTGCAAGGGAGTAAAATGTGACAGCGACCTGATCTATTGGAATATTACTTATTATGTTAATATTAGCTCCAAATGGAGTGAAATGTAATAGCAGCAATGACATTTATCCAATTTTATTTAGGAAACGAATTTCATTATGAAGTTAATGGTATGAATAGAAATGATTTTTGTAGTTGACATTGAAGAATGAATTGTTTTATAATTTAAATTTATAATACTTTAATTACGATCAATTGACATGAAAGGATATTTGGAGTTTTTTCACATTATTGGAAATTGAATAGTTTAATTAACAATATTGAAGAAGAAGAAAAAAGATTGTTATATAAGAGAATACAATAATACTAAATAGGCTTCAATTAGACTCTGAAAAGAAGAAATAGTTATTAACTGATATTAATTTACAAGAGGAGAAAATGACACTTATATATACTATAGATTAATGAGAGTATGATAAACTTTTATTTACATTTCCAGGAGTACAGTGTACACTATTTTTAATTGACTTTATCAATTTAGCATTAAGTTGAATGGCCTATACAAGTTGTATTATTTTACTATTATGAAAAGGGTGTTTATTGCTTGGCCACATTTACATGTATGTAAAATTGATGTAAATATTTCAGTAAAACTGCATGATTGTCTAAATCATGAGGCAATGATTGTCTAAATCATGAGGCATGATTGTCTAAATCATGAGGCAAGATTGTCTAAATCATGAGGCAAGATTGTCTAAATCATGAGGCATGATTGTCTAAATCATGAGGCATGATTGTCTAAATCATGAGGCAAGATTGTCTAAATCATGAGGCAAGATTGTCTAAATCATGAGGCATGATTGTCTAAATCATCAAAAACAAAATCATGAACAATATATGTGCAATATTTAAAGTGTAAATATTAAAGAAGCTATTTTTAGAAAGATGTGTTTGCTGTTGTATGGCAAGCTGTTGGCTTAAATCAAGATTTCTTTCTATAGTGTATGTACTTTATATATATATATTGTTAGAGTTTTTATGCATGTATCAAATGATTTGATTGGTTTTTTTACTGACGAAATCAAATTTTTGAAGAAACATGCAATTTGATTGGTTTAAGTTACAATAAGTAATTTGATTGGCTGAACTACTATTTAATGTATGGTGATGAATATATATCTGATAGTAATACAAAATAATCACCAAATTTCATCTTTATAACAATAATTGAGTCTGAGCTTCAAGTTAGTTATCTACTTGTTGCAAACTTTTAGTCCATATCTGTATGAAAACTGCATGTAAAGTGTTGATATCGTGTTTGAATATTACATAACTTGAAATATAAGTGATTGGTTGTTTACCAGGCAAGGAAATTCAGGCTTTGTTCTTCCCTCTAGCTATGTGACATTTTACCATAAGCTTCCAGTGATTTTAAAGGCACATTATGCCTTAGAAACAAATGAATATTTACTTATTTAAAAAGGGAAAACATGAGTAATATAAGGTTTAAATAATGGATTTATAATATGTTAAATGCTTATCACTTGATTAAAAATATCGGTAATTGTGAAATTATTTGTTATAAAAATAGCAAAATGTAAATAACTTGGTAGTTTGACTTCCATACAAAAAACTAAAATACAAATATGCACTTATTGCCAAAAATGTAGATAATTGGCCATTGCTTAGCAATTTGGAAATTATAAAGGTACAATGGAAATAAAAAGGTTTTGTGAAATAAACATAAAAACATTTCTGAGGCATAGTAGGCCTTTAAACCTTTGGCCCCAAATTGTTTAGCCATACATATTTTTAATGTAAAGACAGTCACACAGTCATGAATTGTGTTGGAGCGTTGGTATTAATGTACATTGTAATGTCTGCGTTAATTTTGATAATCTATCATAGATTCAAAATAATCGATTGCAGATTTAAGACATTCTTATATGTGGAATAATTGACTTTGTAAATCTATTTATTTAAAACAACAAATTTTCGTATTGTGTAAATTTATTATGTTTTTTTTTTACTATTGACATTGTCTTCTTTTTGCCGCCCCAAGTGATAGGAAGGTTTCATACACTATTTGTTATTATGTTGTACATTGTATATACTCATCATTATGTGGTTTAAATTTTTTTTTCTAAGATTTGATACAGTGTTTATGACATGACGTATATTGAACTTAATGTTCAGTATATCAATAAAAAATCTTCTAATACTACAATGGTCTTCTGTTGTTTGTTTAGCTCACATGAGTATGAAAGTGCTCAGAGGTGCTACATGTTCACATCTTCGGATTGTTTCCAAATTCGAATTTCACCATTTTCTGCTTTAGCCGGTGCTAGGGGGCATGGATGGTTACTTGCACTTTCCATTACCGTCCATGAACAGGCTCAATCAAGCCCGAGCCTGCAACAGTTTCAATTTTGTTGTATGGGATACCGATCCTGCTTACACTTTGTACATGTAACATCATTGGTTAATACAGAATTTGTTCTAGCTCGACTGTGTAGGAAGCTAGAAACATTTTCACTTTTGATACTGGGACATAATAATTGAGCCGCGTCACGACAAAACCAAATTAATGAGTTTGCGACCAGCATGGATCCAGACCAGCCTGCGCAGTCTGATCAGGATCCATGCTGTTCGCTTACAAACCCTATAACAAGTAGAGAAACTGATAGCGAACAGCATGGATCCTGATCAGACTGCGCGGATGCGCAGGCTGGTCTGGATCCATGCTGGTCGCAAACTCATTATGTTGGTTTTGTCGTAAGGATTTGTATTTAATCCATTCATGAATGAAATTGTAATTGTACATTTAAATAAATCTTAAACACGACACAGTCTGGATCACTTGCAGTTTGAAAGTTGACAACTGCGTCGAGATGAACGGTATTCTTTTAACATCTGGCGCAGGCAATCTTTGGCCGACTTCGCTAAGGAGGACCCGTGAAAATTCATGAACCTAAAATCTCTGGCTCCCCACAGACGTTCGATAGCAATAAATGGTGCTAAAGTATAACAAAACTCCATGGTCCCTTACTATATTGAAAGGAATAGTTTCTGTTTCAATGCCCCCAAAATCATAAAATGGTGGCTCGATTTTTTTACCTCCGACCTCCATTTTTTTGTATGCAGACAGTTTTAAATATAAGTCCGACAATCAGGGAAGACAAAATGCGAAAAGTTAATATATAGTTATGTCCCTTGATACACAGTATGTGTATATTTTACTTCCAGAAATCTAGAAATAAATTTGATTTTTTGAATTTCAGTTAAAGTGTACACGATATGATGGTATGATTTAACAAATCTTTGTAGTAAAGGTTAGACCGAAATCCAGCAATATACATACACATATTTCGTGGTCTGATGCAATGTATGATAATGTACGAAATACTATCATCTTTTACACAACTTGCATTCAGGACCCATTATCTAAATTGCATATTAAGCAGTTTTAAAAATAAACATGTTTTGACTTCACACGAAGTAGATACTAAACACACTGTCGCGGTGGTCACACTATGAGTACACAGTATCATTAAGAAAAGTTTAACTGACCTGTTCAAGAGAACGCAGCTTCCTCATTATTTTATTCAAATTAGATATACTCTGTAAGAATGTTAAATATTTCAATAAATTTCTGTGATTAAAATATTTTACTCAAGGATGAGCACAGTACATCTTTAATTATCATTTTAAAAAAGAAAAGAGAGTTAAATGAAAAATATTTGTTATTCTTAAGCAGAACGTTTATAAAAGTGTTTTACTTGTTACGATATACGATATCCTGTCATCACCGCATATCATGATCGTATTCGTTAAAAATAATCTTTGTGCATTATGTCAAATGCTCGGATCAGCCATTGCTCATGCCAGGTTTGACGTGTAAGTTGGATATCGGCCTCGTACATCGATCTTAACGTTTAGGAAAAATTTCATGAAACACCTCGGGCGCTACGCGCTCTCGGTGTCACAGGAAGTTTATGGTCTCAACCCGGTGAACCCGTTGTAGTCTAGAAAGTAGTTCTTTAAAATTTTGAAGTGGCCGAAATTAAGTCATCTCTAGTAAGATTGGTCATAATTAAAGTGTTTTTATTGCATGTGTGTAGTTTTTGTGTGTTATATGATGACTTTAAAAGTTGTTTTTTGTGTATTCTCCAGGAACTCATTTGTTGGCGGAAGGATTAAAGATGTACTATACCCACCAGCTGTCAGGAGTTTTTAAAGTGGTGAATTTAAACATTGTTACAACAGAATGAAGATTTCTGAAAAAAGTAGATGTCTAACCTATTACTAGTATATTTTGGGCCTCATTGGACTTAGATAGTGTTAATGTTTAAAGTTGAAGACGGTATATAATTCATCAGGAACAGTGGAATCCAGAATTAAGCCTCAAATTTGACTGATTTACTATAGAACAAATAGTACGAAAATTCACCGGGCCGAGTCCTTATGCCCAGGCCTTTCCATATCATTTCTATATACGGAATATATACCGTGGGTAACGGAGGATAACCGTATACCCACATGTTATGTTAATCGGTTAATAAAATCAACCGATACCTCCTTTAAAACTTGAATAAGTCAACAAAAGGTATTGATTGAAATATGCTGGCACAAAAGTTCGATATCCATAAATAGACTGTATGATTTTATATTAAGTTTAACAAAAATGTAAACAACATGTACAATTTGTGAGCACTATGGCTGACTCGAAAAGGTAATTTCATTTATTTTGTATTAGTAACGCTATTTATGATATTTTAATCTGAAATTTACCGATGTTTTATATTTTAAGTTCATTTCCGTGTGTATTTAACCATTCATTTGCTTTTCCTTTTGCGCTACTTTGTGTTTTGTGCTCGTTTGTGTAATTTGTGTAAATTCTGTAATGGTCAGTGATATAAAAATGCCTTAATCTAAACTTGCAGTTTTTGTTAATATTTAGGCATTTCTTAATTAGTTTCTTTATGCAGAAACTCTCTCATTCTATTCTTAACAATATAATTAATTAAATAGATCTTCATGTTTAAATATTGTAATGTGAATCTTGTTTGGAACACTGAAGTTAACCCCGTCTCTTCAGATCTAGGTCAACCTTATATATTCTATATAAATCCGCCATCTTGGATTGTGGAGTCAATCTTTTTTATTAATTATATCAGTGACGTCACAGTGTATTAAATGGCGCGGACGACATATTTCAGCTTGCAATGTCACTGTATATTTAAGAACTGAGATTTTTCAAATGTTTATTATTCTATTACGTGTTTTTTTATATGTCAGGCAGTCATATCTTTCTGTTTTATAAACAGTTTGATTATTTCCATGGAATCCCAGCGGTAATGAAGATCTAGTTTAAACCGCAATCGGTAAATATGTTCCTACATGTTTGCGTAATCATCCAATCATTTCAATTCTTTATTGTTCCGCATTATTTAAACATTGCGTTAAAGTGTTATTATTCAGTAAACGTACATTCATCAAACAGCACGCGTCACAACCCATTACTCTTGACAGTCGATTAACCTTCAAGTATTTGGACAGGTATTTTTCATTTTATCAAAACAAGATACGATCTACAGTATGTATAGAACAGGACCTATTAATCGGTTGACCTTTACATTATTTTGAAAATATCCCATAGATCTATGTTTCTATTAATATGTGAACCGTTGCTATCGTTTTAATATCGCCATTAATGTTGGAATCTTATATACTTGGTTTAAATCGGTGATTTATACTCGTCAGTAAGGAGCAATTTACATGTAATGCTGATATAGTGTTCAATGTTTATTTTAACACGGATCATTTATACAAAAAGTCTAGCATCAGTGACAGTTTTGACCTGCTCTAAAGAAAAATCAGCATGGGATAAAAGTCTGAAATACCGTATTCATGACTGAAAAAAGAAAGATCTAGCCATATTTTGCATCATTTAGTAGTCTAAAGCATCTACGATAAAATTCTTACCCGAAATAAATATTTTCGTGTCTATCCATGTGTTTAGTATTTCATTCAAAAGTGTGTTGTATTTAAGTGCCCCAACATGATTTTCTCTAAAACTGAAATTCTCGACATTTATACAGAATTCCAGCTAGAAAATATAATGTGCAACATGGCGAGGCACCTGTACTCTTCTTTAAGAAATAGAATCCATTCGCGCGCTTTTTAAACTGTAGTCCTTTACTCTGTTATTTCTACGTTTTTCTTTTGTCCTTTTAATCAAAGTCTGAGATAAACATAAAGTCACAAATATCATGTCAAAATATTTTATTATGGAGTCCAACAGTTACATCCTACATATTCAGTATCGAGTTTGAATGTTAACTTTTTGTTGAACGCTGAAAAAAAGTGTACGCTTACGGGTTTCCCCGTTAAAAGAATGTATATGTAGTTTATCATGAATACCTGTAGTTAATTGGTGCGTAACTTTAGTGACGATTGTGTTCTAAGTGGAGACAACCAAAAGACGTTTGATAAATGTTTTGAACAGTAGTTGTGCAAGCTTTAAATGGTCTTTATATGTACTGTATTTTAAAAAGGAGCATAGGTATCTACTCCTATACAAACATTTGTCATGTGTGTTGAACTGATTTAAAACAAAAGATGATGTACTTTTTCAAGCTTTTTTATTTACATAATGATGAATATACATATAATGAGAATATTAGACAGTTTCTAGAATACACATAAATTCATAATCAGTTTAAAGAAGCGGCATCTATCCAGGAATTAAACTTTCTTGGATAATACTTCCATTTTACATAATATTGTTTATTTTTTCCTTTGCCTTTTGTCTTTAAAATATTGTCTATTCTGAATATTTGATCAGGATCATAGTTTATTTTCTGAAGCTCGCTCTCATAAAATGTTCCTTTGATCTCTTCTTCTTGCAAATCTTGAAGACGGTAGATTGGCAATCTCCCTCTATGATATCGTTGGTGAATTATAAACACTTCTCCAGTGTAAGTCTCATCATACGCTCGAGTGAATACGGTGCGCAGATGACTGATCCGTACATAATCACCAATCTTAAATTTGAAAGGTCTCAGTTTAATGGGCACTTTTCCTTCGTTTTTGTGTTGTGTAAAGTACGTAGATAACCGTACTTCCTCCTGGTTGTTCTCCTTCACATCCATGGGTTTCATTCCAATTGTTCTGTGGAACGTTTGGTTATAACTTTCCACAATGTCATCAAGAATAGGTAATTCGAGTAACTTTTCTTGTAGGTCAAGTAGCGCATTATCCTCGTTTTTAATGTTTGAATGGCCCTACAGAAAAAAATAAACAACAGAAACTATAAATATTTAATTTTCAGTCGGACATGATTAAGTTGTACAAAGATTTTTTTCTTTTCAAATAAAAGTAAGGATTGTAAATCTGTTGTTGACAATATATTGTATGTACATAGTTATTCAAACACAGTCAACAGGAAGAATAAAAAAGTGTTTCAAATTATGAAAAAAAAAAATTATAAGCCTTACCGTTCAGAGGTACTCGCTTTTGTTTCATTTTGTGTGGGGGAATATATTACGTCATATTTGTTCATTAGTTTTTGTACCTTCTTGGCTCTAAACTCCTGACCTGAAAAAAAAATGTGAAAATACAGTCATACAATTGAACGAAGAAAACACTACAGAGTTATTTTTGTTGTCATTTTAAATGTTTAAATGATAAAAAGTAAAAGGCTAATTTACAATCACGAACATATATTTAAATAAATCTTGAATACCTTTATCAGTTATTAATCGTTGAGGTCTCCGGCCAGATTCAACCATGATGCGTTTGAAAGCTTCAGTAACATCTTGTCCGGTTTTCTGTTTGAGTGGTCTCAGCCATACATATTTGGAGAAGGTGTCTAGCTATCACCAACAAAATGTATTTGAAACCGTTGTTCCATTTAGCAAAGTTCACCATGTCTATCAAGTCTGCCATCCACAAATCATCTTTTCCCGCACTGACAACGTGGTTCCTCTGAAAGCGTCTTCTCACTGGTTTATGTAAACTGTATGCTTCTTGATTGTGTAGAAACCTGCCTGATTCTGTGCATACCTATGTTATATTTGCCTTCATCCTTCACCGCTTTATACAGTTTCTGGGGCGCTGCCAAACTTGCAGGATGTGATGGATCTAAATATATTTTCTTTAAATAGTTCTCCCAAGGAGCCATGTCTTTACAGTTTAATGTTCAAATATCAAATGCTTGGTTCTTTCTTTAACAGGTGTTTTTATTCCGAGTCCTCATCATCTGAATCTTCTTCGCTTTCGTCATCAGATTCTTCCGTCTCAAATAAGTCCTCAAAAACGTTTTTGTTTTTCTTCAGGACTCTTTTAACAGCTGATGTCAAACTGTGTTCTTTACTGCGCAAGTCATTTATTTGCTCGATTAGGCCACGATGGGTAGCATTGGTCATCAAAGGAAACCAGTACAATTCCAGTAACGATTGGTATCTTTCAAAGAAGTTTTTCTCTTTGTATAGATGTGTACGTTCCTCTGCCATTTCCGTTGCATCATCTTCGTTTTCTCCATTGTTAATGTATTGGTCGTATAGCTTGTTGAACCTGTCATTGCTATAGTTTTCAGCAAGATTCCAAATATGTCTATAGCCATCGTTATCTTCTACATTTTCGTCCATTACATTCACGTCCTCTACTTTCTGTTTCTTAGATGGAGGTTCATTGTTTTCTGGACACCACCCACGTTTCACGTGTCTTTGAACGTCATGATCTGTATCAAATAACAGTCCACAATCATCACAAGCTTGCGATTTATCTCCCATAGTTTTTTCTTCCTCTAAAATTTCGTCGATGTTGATGGTTTGAACTCCGACTGACAAATGATCAGCGCTTCTATTGTTATGGTCTTTTATAGAGCCTTCCCAGGAATCTGGAGTCTGATTGGTTGAAATCTTCGTGTCTGGCCAATCTATGGCATATCTTAATCTGTCATATTCCGACGTAAATGGTTTCAAGTCTACCAACAAATATCCATAGGGGGTCCTAGTAGCTTTTGAGAAGGCTTTCAGGAATTTTTCGGTATTGCCAGGGTACATCTGACGAGCCAGTGTCATCATTGCTTGCAGATCCACAGGGTTATTAAACAGGACTAAATAATGACAGTTCCTTCTTTGAGTTGGATCTTTATTGCCAAATAAGTTCTGGTTGATAGAAATCACAGATAGAGACCTATGATGAGATCCCTCAGTAAACAAGTCGGTAATGCGCTGATCTTTCCCTGAAGCTGAGAATAAGTCATCTAATACCACCATGTTCTTGACCCTGGGATTGAAGAACTCATCGCTATCTAAATCTGTTGGTATGCCTTGAATACATTCCACAGTAGGCCATACACATCTTTGAATTACACTGTACATTGGCTGCCATCTTCTGTATAACCATACTATTCTTTGAACTGTGGGCTGAATTCTAGTGTTGTGCTTGAGTAACAAATCTTTAACAAATGTTGTTTTTCCACAGCCTGTAAATAACAATAACGATATAGGGTTTAAGTATACTCATGAAATATACATGATAGAATTTACATGTTTTCATACCTGCTGATACCACTATATATCAAATAAGGAAAAAAAAAACATACCTGTTGGACCCGAAATCATCATGGTAAATGGATGCTGTAAGACTGTCGTACTCGAATACTTTGGTGGTGCTGGTACTCCCTGTGGTGGTGGTGGTGGATACGCTTCACCGCTCTTTGGT